AAAGGGGGACAGGGAGTGATATCTCATTTCAAATATAATCTTATCATCATGCCGACGCCCCTGAAAATGTCAAGGTTGCTGTGGGAATCTGTAATCTCTGTGGTGATAATGAGTTTTGTGGCACACAAAGAGAGGGGGAGGCACTGGGGGTACCATTCCTCTGCTGACACAACCACTCCAGGCTTTCACATGGCTGTACGAGTGCGTAAGTGTGTGTGACAGAGAGAGCGAGATAGAGGGAAAATCCCTGCTCTAACCGGATTTCCATACTATCTCTAAAACGAACAGTCCGACAACCACCAATACATTAAAACAAAATGCAAAATGGGCAAAGGTGTGCAGCGAATACCTGCATGTACCTACTACAGTTTTGCATGAACAGTAATTAATAGAAATCTTTACCATGGAGAAAATTTCTGTTGCACATTTGCTACGTTAAAATTGTTCATGCTTATATTAAAGTCCTGAACTGCTACTTATTTGATTCCTTGGAGCTTCTCAGCATTGTAAACAAATGCATTTCCCCCAGGCACAACAGATTGAGATTAACACAACTTCTTTATCGCATTATCTATCTCTAATTACCACCCTCATTTAACAGCCCAGCTCGCAGCAAACCCCCGCCCGCATTTGATTTTTCACTTCACCTCTGCTAATAAAAAGACATGCACACCTCAAGCCAGCTTTAAAAAAACATAAAAAAGATTTTGAAAAAAAAAAAAAATCAACCTGCTCAGAAGCATCCCCTACACACGGAGGCGCCTTTCTTTGTGGTTTCTCCGTTTGTTTTTTGCAACTTTGGAATAAAACAAAAGAGCCAAAGTGATGCTTCCCAAACTAAGACAGTGGTATATAAATCTACTCACGGTGGTTGGTTCTAATTTCCCTGCAGATAATCCTGTGAACGTCTTTAGACGCTCGGTTGCTGGTGATACTGCGTGCCTGCACACTCTCCTCAACCTGTCCGCTCCACACCCAGTGAGCACTAACCATGCCTCCCCCTCTGGCAGCTTCATCACCCTCTCCCTCTCTCCTGCCAAAACCCCCCTCCTCCTCCCCCCTCCCTCTGACCATCTCCTCCTCCTCCTCCCTTTGCTGCAGCTGAGGTATTCCCACTGCACAGATTCTCCCGCTATATGAAGATGTGGATGGTAAGAATGAAGTACTTGTAAAAAAAACACATTTGTTTCATCAGACAGAATGACATTAAGCTACTAATATACTGCAACATACATGGCAGCATGATTATGAGACAAGAGAGCGATCCCTGAGTTCTGCATATTCCAAGAGCTTTTAGTCTCTCCTGAGTGCACTTATGCGAGTGTGCTCCCATGCATGCGGAGGCACACGCCAACTCGATGTTACACAGGAACTACCACCCATTCCAGTCCACATCACCCAGCTGTGCCTGATAACCTACACTGGGTATCCTCTTGTACATGGAGTAGTAGTGTACAGCGCCCTCTACTGGTCGCCCAGTAGCTGCACCACGCTCTGTGTCTTTACAGTGTAATTTTAACCTTCATACGTCCCAGAAAAGAGCTGTGAAGCCGATTTGCTTGTACTTTTCCCCCTCATCACTTTACAACATGAAGGAAACAAGCCCAGACGCCACCTAGGACAGTGGCGGTCTGCTGTTGGGTGTGAACATGTCTTTAGTGAAGCCTGCGGTGATAAGCTGAGTTGAGGCAAAAAGCAGGGAACAGATAGTCAGGTGGGGCTTTGTGGTGAAAAAGGATAAAGGCCATTCTCTGCCTTTCATCCTCGTCTTTGTGCTGATGAATTAATCTTACATTAGCATCCTTTCATCATCAATCATTAACTCCTCTCTTCTCCCTGTCACTACGCCACCTGTCTGGTTGCCCTCATTTGTTACCATGACCTTTTACTAAGTGTGTGTGTGTGTGTGTGTGTGTGTGAGACTCACCATTGACTTATCTGTCAGTTGAAGTATTTAATAACTTCAATCTAAGCAACAAATGGACGCTGGCGTTAATCAGTGATGCCCCTGATGATTTGTTAACCCTCTGAACCCCTAAACCTACCAGCAAGTTTGAAAGCATGTTATCTTTAAAAACTTGACAAAATCACACCATTTGTCAGTCTGAAGCTGAAAAAATAGAACCGTCTGACTTTCAACCATCCTTGAACTCAGTGACGTGATGTTCTGTCGGGAAAATAATCCAAATCTAAGCTTAAAAACAAAACAAAAATGAAGTTCTAAAATGTCTGCCATATTTACAGTCAGTATTTTTCCAGTATTGGTAATACCTGGGATGAATAATCAAAGAAATTCAACTTTATGTTTTTTCTTTTTCATGATTCATGGCAATCTAACTTTCTATTTTTGCATAAAATGCTTTTGAGTTTGTTCTCCTTCTAGTCATGGCTCTGCTGTTTCCATAAAGGTGCAGGGCTTTATATTGCAGTGAAAAATTAGGCCAAGGTGAGTAAAAAAGTGAGGGTCAGAGATTTAATAACACTGGATTCTAGAGTATTTACTTTATAGGAAGGCAAAAGGGGATTTTGGGCACAGTATGCATTCTCAGAGAATCACAACTTGACATCTTACACACAAATAATCAGTCGTGACAACAAGCAAAAGTGAAGTGCCACTGTGACTAACCTGCCGTTGTCCCGGCCAACGCCCCAGACCCGGATACTTGCAATTGGCTGGGAGTGAAGCACACTGCGGTCCATTGGGTCAACCAGGTTCAACATATTATTCTCCAGCACCAAGTACATGTCCTTCCCCTGGGCACACACACACACACACACACACACACACACACACAAATCCTTCAGATCTCATCACAAAAACATGCAATCGTTATTTCCTGCAGCTTAAGATGTACCCAAAAAAGTGGTTCTTTAAAGGTCAGGAGCTTTTTTTTACTCACCTATAAAGTATATTTGCCTATGTGTGCATATATGGTGTGTGCAAGTGTGTGTTCGTGTGTGTCCATGAGTGTTCTCTGGCTTTGAAGGCCTCTAAATAAATTATCAAACCCTAAAAAGAGGGGGTGGGACATGAAAGGTTATTGAAAGAGGGATGAAGCCCTCTCTCTCTCTGTTCTGTCGCTTCACATTAAATACAACCACAGCGGAGAGGGGGAAAGACTTCATAACGTTGCTCTACTTTCTACTCGTCTTTCCTCCTTCTTCCCTCCATCTCTTGACATATATTTCTGAAGACTGTTGCCCCGGCTAACTTGTGCTGCTGTTTTCTTTGCTCCACACTTATCTTTTAATTCATCTCCATGGCTCTCTACAAGCCCTGGTCCTCTCCAAAGCCTTTACTTCCAACAACTACAAACATGTCATCCTTTATTTTACACCCAGAACCGTACAAACACACACAAACACTTGTTCCTCACCTCTCCCCAGATGCCAACAGTGTCTCGAATGTCATTCTTGCAGTACGACAGTTGTCGGATGCAGTTGTTAACAGCAACACTGCTCTTTCCAGGAGCCAAGTCCTCTTCTGCCATCTCCACCCAACCCAGAGAGCGCACTGCAAAACACTGGAAGACACACAGACATACGAAGTGATGACACTCATGTGCATACAGGACATAAAGACATATTACAACTTGTTGCACCGAAAGACGTAGGCATTGTTTTAGGCTCTAATGGACCTTAAAGGTCTATTTCCTCCTCAGTGACTTTGAACGGCACCAGCATTTTGCTTAAAATTACACATTTGAGGTTTTGACTTGGCAACATTGTGAAGATAAAGTGAAACAATTTAAACTTCACAAAGAAAAAAGAAGACAGGTAAACAGATGAAGACAACAAAGCCGGCTAGCAGACGGTCAGACAAAGAGAGGAGAGAGACCCATCCATCTGTCCTCATCAAGTATTCATTTGATTTCAGCAGCCCATTCAGAAAGTACTCTGGTGATTATGTAGGTCAGAGAGGCAGATACTGAGAGAAGCAGGTGACAGACCGTGAATAAAGTCACTATCATACCAACCAGTGAAACCATAGTTTAGTGTGCAAATTTGTTCATGTGCAATCAGCTTTCTAGATTTTGGTATACAAACATTGCCACTGACTAAGGTCATATTGATAGTCATCTCTCTTACTAGAGAAAGGGTCCATTTCAATCTCCCACTGCAGTGGACTATCTGCTGCCATTAATGTGTGTTTCAGAGTGTGCTACCGGACCAGATGCCCTCACTGTAGGACTGTGTTTGTGTCTGGTATTCATCACAATATCACTGTTGCTAAGGATTGTGAATTTCTGCCAGATAAACACACACACAGAGCAGACACCAGCCAAATCAGCAGCACGTCATCAAGCTGAGTGTTGGTTTAAACTCTAATCTGCAATGCTTCAGATCTATCCAGCCATCCGTGGAAACCTCAAACACACCTTAAATGTATTTTAGCCTCCCTGAAAACTGGAGCAGATTGTGACAGAATGCATTGGATCTGTATCATGAGAGACAAATAAAAGTTAAATATATACCTTGAGCTGACATTTTGCAGCCAAGTGGTCATGGCATTCGATTGAGCATGATGCATTAAAAGCTTAAATGTCTCATTTTAATGTTAGACAATGAGAAGGATTTAATGTTTAGCTTTTTGACAGTTCTTGAACTACTCCTCTGTGATATGCCATTAGGCTGGGAAAACTAACCAAATCTAAGCTTAAAATTGTGATATCTCATCAAAATCACTTCAGTTTACATGTCTCATTTGAAAATTATCTAAAAAATACACTGTTCACACTGACCAGGTTTTGTAAAAAGCTAAAATTCTGACCTCCTTGGTACAACCATGAAGCCACAAGTGACTCAGATGACACATGACAAACATTAACAGACATTTCTGCTGAACTGCAGGCTGCATTCACACAGAAATGAGAAAACTATAGGTGCCATTTAAAAATGTAAGTCGTATAATATCTGTAGTATGTAGAGCCACAAAATATCTAATCCAAGATGTATTTTCTACTTTTATTATTTCTGGCATTATGGCTGTGTCATACTGCACAAGACAGTTTTTGAGTTCTCCCTCCTTCTAGCCATGGTTGTGCTGTTTCCATAGAGGTATGGGACTTTATATTGCAGTGAAAACTGAGTCCACAGTGAGTAAAAATGTGACAGGAAAAGAAAATGCCCAGAAACTGCTTGATTTTCAGAGGGTTAAGAAGCCTGAGTAATTAATAACCGTGTCCTGAGCTGTGGCTCAGCTGGTTAACCAGGTTGTCCTTTAACCTAAAGGTTGCGGGTTTGTTATCAGACTCTTCCTGATCATTCGATAGCTGTACAGTGTGTAGTGGCTGCAGCAGCTTTCAGTAATCACACTTGCAACTCAAAAAATCCCTGTCTTATTCCTCATTATTCCTTTTTTTTTTTTTGGTTTTAAAGAACGTTTTCATTGCACAGCCTTGTAAAACCATCACTTTGCATTTACTGCCCATACTGTATGACCATGTGACGAAAAAAATCTTTTCAGCCGTAATGCACCAATGTGCAGCGAAGAGCTGCATTTCCCTGTCGTACCACTGGGGGGCAATAGTGCCCAGCTATCTCACCCTATAGCTGGACCAGCCACACTGATCCACCATGGATCATATGTGTTAATAACACCACATGGAACCAAACAGGTTCAGTACACCAACAGACTTAGAGATGCACAGCGTCATTCCAAAGCAGGAAGCCTTGAGTACAGGGAATGTTGATTATATTCAACAGTGTTTAAAGGTAGGATCACACAAGACATAAATACAAGCCTGAAGTATGTAACCTTAGACTCTACATAAAACAACATTGCATTAGTGAAGGTATTGTGCCAACACTAATAGATTTAGAGTCTGTTACATTGAGCAAAGAAGAAGTTGTAATCCAAAAATTTGCTTGAATTGACAAAGAATTTCCCAAATGAACTGTTCAGACACTTAAAAGTTCAAAATCGTGCTGTCTAATAATTGTCTAAATAGATAAATTGCAATAGCTGCAAATTGATGTTAAGTATGACTTAGTCCTGTGCATAAGACCACAGATTCTGAAACGCAAAGAGCACTTTTCAGGCTAAGGTCTAAATTAGGAAAAGGTTTTTATACTTTTGCCTCTGGGTCACTGTTGACACTGCTGGACTCCTCTTCTTCCACAGCTGGACGGTTCCTGAAAAAAGAAAAGAAAAATGGCATACAGGATGCAGCTGTATGAATACCAGCGTGTCATTATTACCAATGTAATCATTAGCTGCTGTGTTAACAAGGTTTCTATGTCACCAAGGCTTTAGGCAGTCATTACGTTAATAGACAACATGGACCCATTTCCTGAGTACAAGAACCAACTTCCTGCTCTGTCTCAACTCATTTGACTCTAATTAAACACAAGGTTAGAGAAACTGACTAGAGAAGAGAAGAACTAATTAGAAGAGACAGAGACATGTGGCTGAAAAGCAAGAAAAAGAAGGAAAACATGTTTTATAATTTAGTGCAGCTCTTTTTGCGTTCATGGACGTGTAGGTTTTGTGTCTGCGTGTACAAGTGTCTCACCTTAGCTTGAGTGATGCGTAGCGAAGTGTAGCACCCTCAAACTCCTTCAGACTGGGGTCAGGGTTCACCGTGGCCGCCTGCAGGTCCTGACGCACACAGGTGACATTGTCAGAGTGAAAAATGACACCTTTGGCCAGAGGGGTCCACTTTAAAGCCCCTTTCACACATGTAACCTGTAATATTGTCTGGGAGGACTGGTTTAACAGAGACTTGTCGTTAACACACAAGTCTCCTACATGTTTAAAAGAAAAAAACAACTGTCAAGTTTAATCCCACTGGACATAAAAATCAAAAATAAGATGCTTGCTATTTTTATTTTTAGGTGCTTCATGGTTGTTGTAAAGTGATCTTGATGTATTTTGTTACCATTTCTTAACCTTCTGAACCCCAAGCAGTTTTTAGGTGTTATATGTTACTGTCACATTTCTACTTACTGTGGGCTCTTTTATTGTTGGAATATAAAGTAATAAAGTCCTGCACTTCTGCGGAAACAGTATAGTCATTGCTAAAAGTAGGGAGAACTGTGTATTTTGTGCAGTATGATACAGTTACGTCTTAAATCATTTAATAAAAATAAAAAAAGGAAGAGAAAAAAAAAGAAAAAGCAAAAGATGGATTTCTTTGACTATTCTTTTTACATTTGAAAAACAACCTGGAATCAAAGTGCCCACAGGTGGTACCAATACTTGACTAACTGATGGCTATACATACTATACATAGTTTACTACTTACATTTAAATTGTGTCTTTACTTGTCTCCTATTTGCTGTGTGTAAACAGAGCCTGCAGTTCAGCTCAGGTGAAAAGTCCCAGAACTGTTTTTACTGTTGCAGCTGACTCAGTAATTGCTTCTCTGTTGTGCTTTTAGTTTTTTACAGACTCTATTTCCGTTAAAAGGAATGCATTTTTGGCAGTTTGCTAAATAGGACATAGAATGAAGTGATTTTGATAAAATATCCTCTTTATTTAAGGTTACATTTGTTTGTTTTTACTAAAGAAACTAAAAGTCACACGACTAGTTCAAGGACTGTATGAAAGTTAAAAATCTTTGATGATTCTTTCTGTTTTTACACTTTCCTTTCAAACTCACTGGTAGGTTTAGGGGTTCAGAGGGTTAATGTAGAAGAGACTATGACATAAGTCTTTTAGCAGTGTTGATATTCACGTGTTGTTCATCTGTTTTTAGGTTTGATTTTCCTTTTCCAGATGTTGGAACTTTCTATTACATAACAGCTTCGTCGTCTCTTGCGGTTGTCTTACTTGGTGTAACACAGTAACACGGCACGTAAGAATGCTCCCAGAAAAACACATTCCTGGCTTTTTACCAGGAATGCTGGCACTTTTGTTCCAACCAGAGCTATGGCAGCTGGTTGAACGTTTCTGGCAGATGTCCAGAAATGTTGCATCATAAACAAAAAACACCAATATGTTTAAGTATGTATAACTGTCAAAAAAAAATCACAGGTTACAGGCCACATGGGAAAAGGGCTGAAAGACACAAACCTTGCAAAAACCAAATGTAAATATTTAGACCCTACACAGTGTATGCCAGCATGCATCCAAGTGTGGGAGGAATGCCCTTGCTGGATGAAGAAATGGCATTGGTGTGTTATGTGTAATGGGGCATGCTGCATCAGGAAAAGAAAGTTAACACATTGTATATACACACTTGTGTGTGCAAATACATTCAGGTTTGTATAAGTAGGACAGAGAGATGAAAATATTTTACCCGCATATGTGAAGAAAGAAACAACCTGTTAAATGTGTTGCTGCAGCACGTTCTTACATCTCAGGCATGATAAAATGCTGTGGTTGGTGCAGTTACATTTATGTTGAAGCATCAGCCACGCATGCTTTTGCCCAGGCAGTAACTTCTAGCACATATTGCATAAATGCACACACTCACACAGTGGGTGAGGTTAGACCAAGAACAAGACTCGCTGACACTGAGTGCATTATACTTGCCTTCCACACTTCACTATCAATTTTTCCGCCAAATTCACTCCACACCTGTTTCTACATACAGCGTTAAAACACAAACACACACAGTGGTGGGTCAAGGATTGGGAGTCAAAGGTGGGAGGGGGAGGGGGGAGCAAGGGAAGAAAGACAACAAGGTTGTTAGCTAACTAGCTTACTCCACACTGAGTGGGTGTTGCAATAAGGAGCAAACCAGCAAAACATTTCTTAAATTAAACTGAAATCTCAAAGAACAGTCAATCAAGCCTTCAAATGTTTCCTCTGATTGTCTTGCTCCTATTGAACATTCACCTTGCTACTGAAAATCTACTGATTCTTGATTAGTAGAACAAAAGCAATACAGATATACAGTACCATCAGTGACTTTTTAGACAGTGACACTTTTTCTGTTGTTTTTGAACTTTACTACAACACAATGGATCTAAATATTAATAGTCATATTACGCTTTAAAACAGAATAGGTAAGTGGTGACTGTGTAAAGTCTAAACACAGTGCAGTCAGTGTTTACTGCACACATTGAAAATACCACTGCACAAAGCAGTCTTCATTACGAATGTTTTTACTGCACTTGTTCTCAGTGCACATACCAAACCAATTAAACCTCACAGTCATTGTTTTAATTGAAATGTGCTGAACGACTGAGTCAAATCAATGTCATTGTCCAAATACTTGCTCACTGCACTGTATATGATACGTGCAGGCATATACAGCAATATAGGTACAGTTACAGCAGGAATTACTTGTCTTATCTTCTCCCAACACACACACACACACACACACGCAAACCTTCAAAAAATAAAAGAAGGAAGAGAATAGTTTGTGGAAAGTTTGAGGGTTCTACCTTGTCCTCATCATCATGATGAGAGCGACACTCTTGATCTGAAATTCCCTGCAGAGATGTGGAACGAGGCTAAAGAGAGAAAGAAAAGAGAGAGACATGAAATGACTATGATGTCCATAATGAGAATCTAGTGGACCGGTTACCACACCGTGTTTGTCTGTCTGCCATTTTGGCTTTGGTGTCACTGGCTAATTCTCAAGCAGTCTGGAGGTCAGTTGCTACAGATGGATGTGCCAGGGAGAGATTCTGGCACATCCATCTGTCAACATCAGTCCATTCTCACTGGATCAATATTTTATCTACAACATGCTGCTCTCTATCAATCTTCTTTCTTCTCTCCATTTCCATCCATCATTCTACATGATTGACTGATTGATTGGCTCAGTGTTCTTGTATTCCCGTATTCTGTCGCTGGACTGGAGTATTGATGGTCCTCTCTGTGCCTCACTCTTTTACCCGTCTGTCCTGACGTGTATTTCTATCAGCCTGCTACTAATCTTAGTCAAGGCCACAGAAAAGAACATATCAAGTCAGACAAAGTTATTGCATTGTCAAAAGAAATGTGAACATATGGCAGCTTAAAATTAATTCTTATGTAACATACAGAACATCGAAGACAGTGAAGCAGAAAAGACGTTTTTTTGTTTGCTACTTACAAAGTAGCAGCTGTTGACAAATCCACAGGTGGGGAGGATGGGCTCATGAGTGGAGAGAGGCTCCACTGAACTGTCAGAGGTGGTGCTGCCTGAGCGAGTCGAAGCCCTAAAGAAGACCTCTGCCTGGCACGACTGCATGCACACACACACACACAAAAGCAGGTATTAAAAAAATGCTGTATTCATTACATCTTTGTTGTGCACTGCGACCAGTTCTATAAATACTGACTAGGTATGTTTACCCAATCGAGACTAACAATATAATTTTCCTTTTCAGCTAAATTGCACTGGATTAATAAGACTTTATTAGATGTATTGCATTCATGGCATTTAAGTTCAACTTCATTACTTCTGCGTTAATCTAAATGTATGACTTCATTAGTTTTCCTATTGTTCCTCCTTGTCTCTATACTTTGTGTGTGGATTGTCTTCAGAATATACTCCAACCATAATTTGAGCCTGACCACTGCAGGAAAGAAAGAAAAAAATAAAACAGTTTGCAGTCATTTACATACATCCACATTAAGCCGATTAAATTTGTAACAGCTCGGCTTAAAACTTTCCTTTTTGATAAAGTTTACAGTCAGGGTTGGCTCAGGTGACCCTGCAGTCATGCTGCTATAGATGCAGGCTGCTGGGGAACATTTTGTCTTCTCTGTTGTAGTTTTTATTTGGTCCTCACTTTAGTTAATTTAGGCTCAGGATGTACATGTTTCTGATCTGCAGTTACTGGGCGTATCGACCTCCAAAGTGTTTAATGTTCTTTTTTGCGTTGTTTATCTGTTTTCTCCCTCCTATTCTTTTCCCTCTCCCCTAGCCTCACCCCAGCCAGTGGAGGCAGATGACTGTCTTCCCTAGGTCTGGTTCTGCTGGAGGTTTCTTACTGTTAAAATACTTCTTTTTTCCCCTTTCCACTGTTGCCAAAAAGCTTGCTTAAAGGCAATTATTTGGAATAGTTTGGATTCTCTCAATAACATACATTCTTTAACATTCCCACTGAAAAGGAAAAAGAAATTTAGCAATTTCATGTTGTTTAGGCGTTATCCTGTGTGAGCTCTCTACGAAATACCCCTGGAACACGAATGTGGAAGCAACTTGGTTTCACATAAAAACTGCAGTTTAAAATTTAGAAAGCTGAATGCATCGTCTGGGCTGATCACATCATCAACTGTGGGTGTGAGTGTCACTCTGCTGTTGTGTCTCTCACCTCATGGTCAGGAGTGGGTGAGGGGCTGAGCGAGCCCAGGGAGTGTTTACGTGGTGTTGAGGCTGTGTGGTCTCCCAGGGCCGGGGATTCCGTCTGTCCAGGGGGAGCTGGATGGGTGGCAGGCCGCTCCCACTGGGTGGTGCCTGTAGGGATGTGCCAGTAGTAGATACCGGCCATATCTGTGATTTTCTTCCATCCTGGAGGCAGGTCAGGGTCTGTCTGGAATGACTGTTCACTCCAGATATCTGGTGGTGAAGAAAAGCACATTTGGATGGTTTAGTGATACATACAAAAAATAGAAGTGCTCATAGACCTCATATACATGTTTATACTTTTAATATGCGACACAGTGGCCAAAGAGCAGTCGGACCCTCATTCCCTGTCATTCCCCTCCTCTTTCATGTCTGTCTATACTGCACATATTGCATAAAAATTAAAATGCCGAGAAAAAAAATGCATGCATAAAAACACATCTGTTACAACACACAAACATAGAGTTCTGACTTTTCTTCCATATAATCAAATTGGCTGCTGTTAAATGAAAGTTAACCCACACTGAACAAAATCAACAGCTGACGGGGCTTATCAGCATCTGCTGCAGCTGTCCTTTTAACAAACCATGTCTCCGTGTCCACAGACAACAACTGTGCAGAACTTGTTAAGCACTTGTCGTTGCATTTGTGCAGCACACCCACGCACATTTTTCAAATGAAAGATATCACACAGGCATAAAACAACCCCTAAATATACACAGGCGCAAGCACAAGTCTCTCTTTTCTCACATTTGGAACAGTTGTCATATAAAGTCCCATTGAGAAAAACCAAGCAGAGCTTAAATGTATTAGGCTTTAGTCAGCATGACACAAATGAGAAAATATTATTCTCTGGACCTAGTAATTGTATTAGCTCCTTTCTCAGGACACTGTTAGAGACAAATCTGCTGTTTTATTTCCATGGGTGTATGATCCATTGTGGGGTTTTTTCCATTCATTGTTTTCCACCAGCTCATAAATCAAAAGTTATGTCCCGAATACAAGACTTATGATCTGGAAAAGGGTGGACAGCCAATTATCCATAACGATGCCACAAATAAAATTATCTCGATTATTCATGGCGGGTGTGATGTCAGGGTACATGTTAACATGAGCTAAACCTCACCAAGAAAAGAAAAAAAAAAAACAACTCTTCTTCTTTCCACGTATAATACACAAGTTAGGTAAAGTCAAACAGATTTATCTGAAAAACCACTTAACTTAGAAAACAAAGCATTGGCGATGAAGATCATTTCAGAAGGTAACAAGCATTGAAAAGAAAGAAATGAGCAACTACATCATCTGTACCACCTCTCTTCAAGCTCGATGTAACCCAGGTCTGCAGCGTTGCTTCCAATAAATCAGCCTGAACCTAAATCAAACTCTTATGTCTCCTGTCAATTGTGTCTGTAAACCTAAACCTAATTAGCAAACCTAATTACACTTTGCCAGCAACAACAATGAAAGCATTAGTGGTAAAACCTCAATTTATGCTGTATACTAAAAGCTGTACTTGTAGCAGTGTGGGTGGTACCACTGACTTTACTACTCACTGGAAAAGTTAAATACATAGAATCAACACAATTCTAAACTTTATACACATTGACTCCCGTACTTAAAGAATACATAAAAGAAAAAAGTCACAACTTTTTCAGTTGTGTAGTTGTGGTTGTTATGACTTGAGAAGAAACTGAAGCTAAATAAAGTGGAAGGATGAGGTGAAATCATCTCCAATCTAAAAAAGTAAATATCGCCACTACAAGCTATAAACATGTTCTGTACCTACAAGGCCCACAGCACTTGGTGTCATTTGAAAACCAGAAAAACTCTTAATAATTGATTAAGTTGCATGTACTGGCTCAGTATGTATAGATTTATGCGAAATCTAAACTCCAACAGAACACAGCATCAGCATATAGAGCAGATGCCTGTTACCATAATTCATCTGACAGTGATACATTTAGAGGAACTACAGCTGTTACCTTGAAAACACACACAGAGATCCTGTGTGGAGATGGAATCTGAGTACTTTTATTAATATTTCTTCACTCCCTCTTGTACTAAATGTCATCTCATCTGAAGGCTACAGTTTCCTGGCAGTCAGGCCACCTGAAGCACACACACACTGAACTATTGATGGGATCTTTGTGTGTGTCAAGCTGATGTGGTGGCAGAGGCAGTAAAGATCATCTGAAACTGCATCAGGGGTTGTATCAACTCATAAAGGTGATATAAGCTCTGAGGGACTGGTCAGCTGGTGCTGAGGGCAGGTCTGTATGTTTATGTTTGTGTGTGTGTGTGTGTGTGCAATTGCAAAGAGTTCTTGAACTGCTGACCATGCTGATGAAACACAGCCCGTGGGCCTGTTGCCACGACAGCAGGCCATATGTCATCATGACGACTCAGTCAGGCCAGATTGAGATGGAATTCAGACACACAAACACACACATACAGAGATGAGATATGAAGACTTTTAGTGTATCTACAGTAACAGAAAATCACTGAAAACATATCAAAATGTGCACATACAGTCTTGACAAAAGCAGACATCCCTTAGGGCTTAAGACTGCGCTTTAGAGCAAGGAGCTGTGAAGCAGTGCCTTCTGGGAGTTGGAGTCTTTTGTGGGGGAAAAAATAGGTCAGAGCAAATAAAACTACAACAGAGAGAAGCTGGTTGTCTCTGTCTGGTGTGAGCGAGAGGAAAGATGGTGACTCAGAACGGGTGCCAGTATGAGAGGAGTACTGGATGTGGATTAAAGCATGTGCACGCACAAGAAGAGAGAAAGAGAAAGGAGAGCTCTGGCTGACATGGTTTGTAGGCTCTATCCTGAGTCAAAGTTATCAGTGTCACTCCTGGCAAGCGATGTAGCAAGTGAGGAACTGGAATGAACAGACTTAGCGTGCTAGCACTGATGCTGACAGTTAACGTCACCTGTGCAGCTGATGAAAAATGTGCCACACTGGAGCTACGTAGCAGTTAGCCTGTGATAGCCACAGTTAGCATGCAGCCCCATGCCAGAGTACAGTTTAGCTGAGGGGGAGGGGAGAGCAACCTGCTTCTGGAAGCAAAACACACATACATACACATGTTCTCTGTGGAAAACGATACCACACATACACAACACCGCACCAAGACCAACGCACACATTCATTCAGTCACAACAAACACACAAAAACAGCACTCACAGACCGCAGATTCCTCTAGCAAACGATACCATTACAGAGATAAACTTCATCCTCATGTTGGAGGAGACACATGCACACACACCTATGCTTGTGCACACACACACACACTTGCACAGCACACTTACATAGCCTTCGAACTCTAACCCCACAGGGTAGTTTCCAGCCGACTTCGATAAATGCACCTACCCTCGTAATTGACAATCACAATGGCCAGCATGTAGTCTTTCCCCAGCATCATAGTTAGCTAGCTGCCTTTCATACAGCAAACCAAATGCTGTAACCAAAAGAGAGAACCCCAGACAGAGAGAGGGAGAGAGAGAGAGAGAGAGAGAGAGAGAGAGAGAGA